AATTATCCAAAAAACCAGCCATAAGAGGGTCATCAGTAGAAACCAACTAATGAAATGGAAATAGATCTTCAAAGAAAACCACATCACGAGAAACAAACAATTGGTTCTTAGTAATGTCATATAATTGGCAGCCCTTTATTCCAGTCGGATACCCCAAAAAAACACAAGGGCGTGCATGAGGATCAAACTTGGTGTGCTGGAGATGTAACCCAAAGGCATATGCAAGATAACCAAAAACTCTAAGGAAAGAGTAGTCAAATGCATGCCCAAATAAGACTTTATTAGGTGACAGATCAGAGAGCAGTAACATAGGTGTACGATTAATCAAATAAGCAGTAGTGAGTATACAATAGCCCCAAAATGCAAAGGAACTATAGACTGAAAGAAGAGAGCTCTAGCAACATTGAGAAGATGTTGATGCTTACGTTCAACAACAGAGTTTTGTTGAGGACTATTGACACATGAAAATTGATGCAAAGTACCAATGTAAGCAAAAAAATTAGTAAAGCGAAGTTCAGAGGCATTATCAGATCTAAACACCTTAATAACCTCGAAAACTGTGTCTCAATCATCTTTAAAAAACGAGGTATTATGAACAATGCATCAGATTTACGCCACATAAGATATATCCATGTGAAACGAAAACAATCATCCACCAAAGTCAAAAAATAGGTATAACCAGCTGAAGTGGGGTACTAAAAGGTCCCCAAATATCACAATGAAATTAAATCAAATGTGGAATCTGAAACATGATTATTTGAAGAAAATGAAAGATGTTGTTTAGCTAACGAACAAATATGACAAATGCTAGAAGAGCAGCCATCAGAAAGACATAAAGGTTGTTTTAAAACATGAAGTCTAGCAGAAGAAGGGTGTCCTAAACGTTTGTGCCAAACATCAACAGAAAGATGGTAAGCAAGTGCAGGAACATTAAAATTTAGCGGCAGAACGAGGGAATAAAGTCCATTGATGCAGTTAGCTCTGCCAATCATTCTCAATAGTGATTTGTCCTAAAGGAAGCAAGAATTACCATGAAATTCAAGTGCAAAATCACCATATTTCAGTAGAGCACTCACAGAGAGTAAATTATATGTAAATTGTGGGACGTATAACACATCATGAAGAACAAGATCAACCGATAAAGAAACCGTGCCAAAAAACTCAATTGAAATCTGGGAGTGAGTTGGTAAAACAACATTGATATTAGAAGTAGGACGAATATCAAAGAAAAGGGAACGTTGATGGCAGATATGGCTAGCAGCACCAAAATCGATAATCCAAGTTTGTGAACAAGAATTATCAATGGAGGATAATATCGGAAAAGAAGTACCTCCAAGGTGTGATGCCACAGGTGCATTAGTATCTGTTTTAGCCACTTGAAGATGAGACTGGAGGATCTCCATTAACTAAGAATATTGAGTAGAACTTAGGCTGTTAAAAAATGTAGGAGAAGCATGTGATGTTGTATGAACAACTGGTGCTGTAGCAAATTCAACAGCCTTCTCCGAGACTTGATTAACAGAACTAACGGGAGCAGTCGAATTAATGCTTCCATGGCTAGAACGAGGAGCAGCCGAATTAGTTGTGCAATATCCAGGTGGATATCCATGAAGCTTATAGCACTTATCAATGACATGACCTCAGAGTCCACAATGTGTGCAAAAAGATCGATTATCCTTTCGACAATATTGAGGATGATGCTTCTTCGAATTTTTTGTAGCAGCAGCCATAGCCATAGGTTCAAGAAATGAACTTACAGTTCCAATTACACGTTGACGTTCCTCTTGAATAAGTAAAGAAAAAACCTTATTGATAGGAGGAATGGGATCCAGAAGTAAAATCTGAGCCCAAACAGTAGCATAAGACTCATGAAGTCCCATAAGAAAAATCATCACATATTCAGATTGAAGATATTCTTTGAGAGATTTTAAACCATCACAAGAACAAGTTACCGTGGGTCGATATTCAATGAGTTCTTGTCAGATTGTCTTCAAGTTTGTATAATATGCCTCAATTGACATAGATCCCTGGACTATAGTGACCAATTCTTTCTGAAGTTGAAATATGTGTGGGCCATTGCTTTGCTGAAATCGTTCTTTCAACTAAACCCAAATTTCTTTTGCAAATCCGGTGTAAACAATGCTTGCAGCAATTTCTTTGGAAACTAAATTGATAATCCAAGATGTAATGATATCATTATTACACCTCCAAGCCGCTAGTAGGTTTCCTTTTGGTTTTTGAATGGTTCCGTCGATAAAGCCGACCTTCTTTTTCTGATAAAGCAAGAATGATGGATCTTGACCATGAATTGTAATTACTTGCTCCAATCAACTGTTGAGAAATCAGTTCGGTGGTTGGTGCTGTGGAATGATGAATCAAGTATGGGTTGAGTTGAGATTCAATGGCTGTGGTGTCTCGTGCTATAGCATCCTGTACAATTGGATCGTTTACCTGCCATAGCAATTGAAGAAGATTGCTACAAATCTTGAAAAATAATGGTTGGAGATCGTAAATGGCGAAAGAAAATATGGCGAAAAGAAAATAGGGTTTTACGCGATAGCTATTCACTCTGATACCATATCAAGCGTAAAACAGAAAGAGAAGAAATTTTATTGATTAATAATTTCTCTTACACATCTGTGACATAAAATCATCACATATAAATACAATTAATTTGTGAAACTAACTATCTAACTAACGAGAGTTAATAACCAATAACAAACTAGTGTTAACTAATCAGAGTTAACTCTAATAAATCGCAATACTGAAAACGGTTCACTAAAAGGAAAACAATAATTTTGAAAATAAGTCTCTAGCAATGACACCAAAAACTTATTGGGAATTCTCTACCTCGATGGATAAGAGATTGCGTGCAAGCACATACGACCACAAGTAATACAGGGGAAAGATATTCCAAGTTCGTATCCTTATGGAGTTTGATTCAAAAATAAATGTAATGAAATGTTTCAAATTGCAATTGGGTTTATTGATAAAAATAGATGTGAAAGTTGCAGTTTAGTTTTAAAAATATCAAGCTTCTAATAAAGGACAATCCCTATTCTTCCTACCTTAGTTTTAAATGAAATCACACAAATGTGGAAAATGTGCCATGTGTCACTTTGACTCTTACTGGAAACTGAGTTATGCTCTTATCATGAACCGCTTTTGGTTGTTTTAGAGCTTAGGGCAATAACTGGTCATATGTCTATGCATGATTACAATTTAGACATTACTACCAACTCATATACTTTTATGGGTTAGAAGACCTATGTAGACGATCATATTTTATGTGCTTATGTCTCAGTTAAATCTCACATTAACTCTTTATTAAACACTTTATTCTAAAAAAAAAAAAAACTCTCTATTAAAAACTTAACCTAATCCTTTCAGTATTATGCTTCAATTTAGCAAAATTCCTTAGCAGCCAACTTAAGAAATTTCTTGAAAAAATATGTTGAGGAGTTAACCAGTATGTGCCAGGTGCTACCTGGAGCTTTTTCTCCCGTGTTTAATTTAAATAGATTTTCCTAAGACATTTTACAAGGAGGTTGAAAACTAATATAATGCAAAATAAAAGCGCGGAAAATACTCATATAAATAAGAGAAATTCTTGCCATTGATTAAAATTAAAGTTTAACAAAAGTACAACAAGCCATATCTTAACCTTGTTCTCTTTCGAGCTTGAATGAAGTTAAAACTCGCTAGAAATTGTTTAAAGATGAAAATAAATGAAGTACAAAAGAATTGAAACAACACTTAACAAATGTAATGCAATAAAACTAAGGTTCGAAAAGCATAAAATTGTAATGAAATGAAACAAGTTGGTTCTAACTAAAAACTAAGACTAAAGAAGATAAAACGTGGATGAATTCTACTGACCAAACTCTTTAATTTATAGGCATGGAGGTAGTTACAACTTGCCACCAAAATAGGAGGGGAGTAAAACTAGAGTAATGGGATTTTGTTCACTAAACTAATTCTACCCAAACAGCGTCCACTTGACAGGCGGAGCTGACTTTGGAGATATCCTTGATGCCCTTGTGCCAAAACATGCGTTTCATTAAAAGGTCCCGAGAGCAGCGCTTGACACTTTTTACCTACATTTTGAAAAACCATAAATTTCTACCGTATTTTTCCCATGAAGGGTGTATTTTTACCTCAAAGTGTTCTAGTTTGAATCTCATGTAATAATAATATGTTCTAACCAACTTTTAATAACATGCAATCAGATTATACAAACTATGAGAAAAATGGATCACTTTTACACCAAAACATGCATAAAAAACAACCTTTGAACCTTGGAAAATAAGGTTCGGTCACATGATACATGATATTCTACGAGTGTCCATCTTTTTAAATATTTACAATACTAGATTTTTAGGATTTAAATAAGCTTTCTTGTTTCCAAATTGTCCTCAATAAATGTCATTATATTACATTTTAAAATGTATTCTTTCCTCGTGAGAATGGAGGATCATTTAATGTAAATATTTACAATAATTATTAAATGATAATATTTTAATAAATAATTAAACAAATGCAGTAACTAATCATTGCACTTATTCTTGTTTAATTTTGCAACGATTCTTCTTCGAATTTTTTGGCATATATTATTTTTTTAGAGTTTAGGGTCTAGGGTGTTATTTCTTTATTAAAAAGAGAAATGGTCTCTACTAGATCTAGGGTTTAAAATTTAAGGATTAGAGTTCTATTTATTAATTAAAGTCATACGAATATGGGTAGTTTGATAATTTTCACATGGACACCGTCGTAAACAGGCCTACAAATCTGTAAATAAGTGTCTAGAAATGTCTAGTTGTGTTGTTATCCCAAATTAAAAAGATTTAAAAAATAATTAAAACAATTAATTACCCGACTTATTTAATGGGCCGACACAAGCCTGATCCGATATTGATTTAGAGCCAAACTCATGGGCTGGATCAAAAGTTGGGCCATAGACATAAGTTCAAACAGTGTGTGGTCTATAAAAGCTAAAACCTTCATCTCTGCTCCCAATATTTACGATTGGACGTGTGCAAATTAGGGTTTCGTTTCGTTTTGTGTAAGATCAATATTCATCACCGATCCATAATGATTTACGACGTCAACTCGCCTCTCTTCCGCTCCTTCCTGAGCCAGAAAGGAGGCCCTTCCGACAAGAGGTATTATTCTCTACTATTGTTGTCTGGTTCTATGAGTCCGATTAATGCTCCAATACCTGCATCTTTCTCTGATTTGATTTTAGTTTAGAATGAAACAGAAATTTGTGGAAATACTATAAATTATCCATTCGCAAGCTTAGAAATTTAAAATTATGTTTTCATTTTTGGTGTAGTCTGGAAAAAGGCTTCTACAAGTATCTTTTACTGGCTTGCTGATCCTCTTTATTTGGGCTTGGTGTCCTGATATGTACAGTTTTTTATGATTCAAAATATAACTAAAATACAACAGATTTTTGCTACATCAGTTTTGGGTATAGAGCAACCAATTAAAGCTCCATGATTGTTGGGAAGGTGATCCACGCTAGCAGTGTTGCAAATCAAACTGGCGAGTGATATGTTACTTGAACAAGAACCACGATAAATCGTCTTAAGAAGCAATGGTTGATTGCTTGTTGGTAATAGAGGCCTTTGTGGACAATATAAAGGATTATAGAAGGAACTCTAAGATCCCTTAGCAAGTGCTAACCTTTCACAAGGACATCACCCCATAGGGTGTTTTAGTGAGAAGTTAAATGAAGCTCGTAACAAAGCACATATGACCAAGGGCTTTATGCTCTAATGAGGGCCTTATAACAAGTTGTATAATGTATATGATATCTGAAGTTCATTTTCTTGGTGCGGATTGGAGGAATGAGGTTTAAAGGGTGTAAAGGAATAGGGTGAGGTATTAAGTGGTTATGGTTGGCTGTGACTATTTTCTCTTAAGTTCTAACTCTAACCTTAACTTGCATTACAACTTCTTGGGCGTGTCGCAAATATTTCAATTTTATTTCTTTTTAGTTCTGAAAACAAAAATCTTTCTACATTATCTTGAAGTTCATTAGTTCAAAAATGGTCAGCTCAAATAAAATTTTGGACTCTTTTATTGAAGCCTTGAAAACACTTGATTAAGTTTTGGCTATGAAATTGAACAACTGTTGGAGATTTGAAGGGTTCAAATATTAATTTATTTTTGGAAAAAATGGACATGAAAAGGACTATAGGAGAAAGATGATAAATTTTGATAGTGAAAAACATGAACTTTATTGAATTTAAGTTTCATTTTTTATACAATGTTAAATCCAAATGAGAAGTGTTGAGTTGGTTTGTCCTTAGATGTGGGTAATTTGTTTCTTAAACATCTTTCAAGTATGACACGTTTTGTTACTTAATAGATACCTTGTCTTTCTTGTGAAATATTATAAACTAAAACAAATTTTTAGCATTGTATAGAAATAATCATAGATATTTTAGTAAATATGTCCTTGTGTGTGTCCTAGATTTTTAGAAGATGGTTTCATTCTGTTTGTGTCATGTCTTGTCCATGTGTACATGTTTATCATTTGAATCTATGAGGAAGATTAAGAACTTTATCATGTGCTTTTTTTTTTCTTGGAACTGTCCCTCCATTGCTCTTCATTATTGTATTAGTTTGTTTACCTCATCCTGGTTTGTTGCCCCCTTTTGGAGAAACTTGTTTGTGGATAACTTGATATATATTCTGGAGAAATTGTGTGGTGACAAGATAGTGATTGCCTCTCCTGTGATGATCCCTTAGATCTGCTTCTCCTTCACGACTTGTTCAAGTAAACTATGAAATTTTTATAATTTGATTGGTTTTTTGAAGCCCTTAGGCATTGTATTTCTGTATCCATGGTAATTTGTTGCTTTACCAAATATAAAGAATGTGTTTTGCTTCTGTTTGGGTAATATTTTCGAATGAATGGAATGGTTTAGGAAAACGGAAGAGCAGAAGCCGAAGGAACAGAGACCAAAAGCCAGTGAGAATAAGCCAGTTATGACCGAATGAGAGCAAATAATGAGATGGAGAGCGATTGCTGCATCAGCACTTCACTTCAATTCACTTAATCTTGGAATTGTTGAATGTTAGACACAAGTTTTGAATCGCATCAAATGTTCCGAAGTTGTTGTAGATGGGACAACCTCTCCTTTTAGTTTTCATGAAATTGCTCGAGTGGTATTGTTCGCCTGGTATATGTTTGGTTGAATTTGCTGTAGAAAAGTTGAAACTGTCATGTTCTTAGGGAGGACTGGACAATATTGCACATTGTTGAACTGGTTTCTAGGGTTTTTTTGGTTTATTGATCTGTTTCTTATTTTCATTTTTATTAGTTTCTTTATCCTATGGTTTTAGGGTTGTTAAAGTTGTATGGCTACAAGTGATATTAAATTAAGAACAAGGGAAAGAGGAAAAATCAAGCATAAACTTAATCGAACCGGCACTACAAGGAATTTAAGTTTTCCTGCAACAAAAAAAAAAAAATAATATATTCGTTTATGGAGAGAGGGTATTGAATTTCTGTCCACGTGTTGATATTTTTATTTGTCAAATCAACATTTTTATAATATTGTAAAAAAATCAATAAAATATGAAAATTTTTAATAAAATATTGCTAAGACGTGATGTTAATGGAAATTATTGTAAATTTACTTAAAAAATAGTGAAATGTTTACTTATTACTTTAATGTTTTTTTTTTGAATCTTTTATGTTTTATTAATCTTTCTAGAAAACTTTATGTCGAATTTAAAATATTTATTTTATCACCATAGATATCATAAAGAATGTCTCTTCTCTTCTAAGAAAAATGTGAAGTCTAATCTAAGATTTGAAAATATTGATATCAATTTTATTTGTTCAAAATAAAACATGTGTAGCAAAAAACTTTGAAATATCTAATATTTGAGATTTTACTATGTTGAAGTACATTAGTAATTTTATCTAATGATCATTTAGATAAACTATGCTCGTACATCTAATGAATTCTTGCAAAATAAGATTTTTTCTTTCAATCACACCATTATGTTGAGAAGTTACTAGAGCGGAGAAATAGTGAGAAAAAATTTCAAAGACATCACTACTAATTTGCACAAACCACCCCTAAACTTTGAAGGAAAAAATTAAACCCTAAAACATTCATAAGTAATAAAATCGCACCCTCTAAATTACGAGATTGTAAAAATTAGTTGAGCCATTACCACTTTGTTTATGTTGCATGTGGTAATGGTTTGCTCGATCTCAAATAGAAGTGAATGAGTCAAACAAGAGACGATTCCTTCCTTACAAGCCACAACGATATAAATATAAATGAATAACATATTTCTTGAATAAATTTTAGTAATTTCTACTAAAATAAAAGCAACAACATGGGTATTGGGTAGGTTCCTTCAGAGTAGTTCGTAATTAGAAATGGGAAATTTGGGAAGAAACAACGGGAGATACATATGAAAAGCCGCCATTGAAGCGCATCAACAGAGAACAAACAAGAAAAATGAGAAGCCCATCATCACATAGAGAGGGAAAAAGAGACATTCAATCGAGTTTGCTTCAAATTGGAAGATGAAAGAAGATCAATTTAATTTGGCTCTAAAGAGTCTTCGAAACGAAATAAAAATTTGCTCTCATTTTAAAATTTTAGGGTTTATTTTTCCAATTGCATAAGTTAGAGGGTGCAATTATTACTTGGGAATCTTTCATTTTTACCCTTGAAAGCTTAGGGTCTAGTTTTTTCAGTTATAAAAGTTCGAGGGTCTAATTTTTATAATTGAAAGTTTAGGGTCTAGTTTTTTCACTTATAAAAATTCGAGGGTTTAATTTTTATAATTGAAAGTTCAGGGGTGAAATTGTAACAACAATCTCAATGGTTTTTGCTATACATTACTAACCAACACTCTAGCAAAGAAGTTGTTGGAGTTGCTAGCCAAATATACCTAGTATCTTTCCATATTACCCATATTTTACACTAATCCGTTTGAATTAATGAAGCGTAAACATAGTTTATAGCTCAGGCGAGACATCCCTAAGCACCCACCCTCTATGATAGAAGATATATCTAATATAGATTAAAGATCCACATACTCTACCAAATTCTTTTGAAAACTACTAGAACAATCAGTTTAAGCATGGTGATCAAACAGGGTGATCAGTCATCTCAAACATTAGAATGAGACAAAAACTTTAATCAAATAGAAACAACTTCAAATAAGAATAAATCGGTGTTTACAAGGAGAAACCATAACCTATAATAGGTTTAGCTAATATTAGACATAGAATAACGAAGAGAAGAAAAAGAAGAAGAAGAAGTTAGGAAGAACGATTTATCCCCTGGGTAAACTGCTCCAACCCCGCAATAATATTCCAAAGGAAAATGCACCTAAGATCAAATATTTCAAGCCAGCCTTTCAGTTGTTTTGGGTAATATCCTTCCTCTCCTTTAACATGTATCATACTGTTTCTTACTGGGATTGATGATGTGAGGCAACTCTTGTCTTAAAGTATCTATATTTCTCCTTAATTTTAGGGCAACAAGTGAGTTGTGTACGAACATGGTAAGATTTGGGCAATTTTTCCATTTACGACTTCTTTTTCTCAGGAAACTTTTGTGTCACTTTCCAACTTGGCTTTAAATGAGAAGCTCCAATACTCCAACACAAAAAAAAAAATCATCTCTCTAATGAGTAAATGTTTTCATAATTTCTAAATAAATCTCAGAGTAAGTCTAACATACAAGTATCCAATTTTTGGGTTTGGATCACTCCTAAAAAAGAGCTTAAACAGACAAAACTACTCTACCCAAGATAAATTTGACGTTAAATAACTCTCTTTTGGAGAGCTATCATTTATCAATAAGATTAAAAGTTTACAGGTCGAGCTGACGCACAGCTCAATAACACACAAGATTTTTTTTTCTTTTCAGGTACACAATTCCTTTTTTTTCTCTTCTTCTTCTTCTTCTTTTTTTTTTTTAACTCAGTAAAACAAACAAAATAAAATCAAAAGACAGCAAGAGACTTCAACTTATTTTTTTTAAGAGGGCCCTGTTAGTCATTCATGCCTTTTTTTTCTTCCAAATACCAACATCGGCAATGACTACTAATTGTTCAAGCTTTTTTAGCATCATCATTAAAAAGGACTGCTTTTGCATACTCATTTCTTGAATCACCACTTCAAAATAAATTTCACGACTATAAACAAGACGACTATAAACAAGACGACTATAAACAAGAGTAGCTCTTTTTTCTTTCCTTTATTTTTTCTCTTTTACGAGGGTATAGCCTACCCCAAACTTAGAACTTACAACAAAAATTTCACTCACAACTCACTTTACACCTTTAAGCTCACTTCAAGATACCAAAGTAACCCACTCTAGCCCCTAAAATATCTTCATGATCATAAAGCTTCTTATAGTCAACAAGCTATCATACGCGACAATCTAAGAATATGAACTTCTCGAGCCTCTAGCCACTTGAATCCAATCATTCTATGCTTGAGGCTAGAAACACTCAATGAGTTTGTTTTCCAATCAAACAAGCATGCTCCAATAATAATACACTCTAAGTACAACACACAAAGGATAACACTATTTGGGGGGGGGGGGCAGGTTGTATGAAGGCAAGGCGTGGGTGAGAACCCTCTCAAGTCGAATTTTATTCATCTCAAGTCAAATTTTATTCAACTTCAATAATTTGTCCTAAATCTAATGGAAAATAAAAGCAAAAGATCTTTCCTAATTTCAAAAATAGGACTCGCCTAAGTTGCTAAATAAATAATTAAAATATGCAGACTAAATCTAAAGTAAATAAAATCTAAAACAAAATAGCTCTCAATCAAATAAAGGAAAATTTATTCCTTAAATTTCATGAGTGGGCGAGAAGGCATTTTGGCGAAGGGGGTGGTGTACGCGCAAAGGCATGGTGAGAGGGGAAGGAAGCGAGCGTTGGCACTGACGGCTAGGCATGTGAGCGTATGACATGGATTCCGGGGTGTGCGTAGG